TTTCCAAAATAAAGGTCCTCAAAATGATCGGCGATCCTGATTCCACGAATTCAGACATAGCCGACGAGACTAGTGAATGTCGCAAGGAACCCCCTTAAGTTTACATTGACGGGACATTCTTACAATTCCTACCCGAAATTAGACTGATAAACGATAAAAGCCACGGCTATAATGTCATCGGAAATTCATGGCAAGCATTGATCGGCAGCAATTAGTGGACAATTAATCAAAATGTGGACTTGGTACGGACTGTCCTTACGATATTTTGTATAGCGATCGGAAGAAAATTGTCTGACTTAGAGGAGATAAAGTGACCTATGATCTGTTAACCATGACATCAAACATTTTCCCTGGTAATTAAGTAGCACGGCTACTAACTTTATCCCTATTTGTCAGCTCGAGTCTCTTTCTCAAAGGCTTTTATTTCTTTTAATGAAATTTTGAGTGATTACCAGTGAGGTGATCAAATATGGTTGGTAGTATAATCGAGTTTTATGTTCGAGATCACAATCGTAATTCAACTTAAATGTTAAGATGAAGATTGTTATTGTGGTGGACAGTGGTTACCTTGGTAACGAATCAAAATATTTTGTGCCGTAACAATAAACAAATATGCAAAAAATTTGTTCCATTCTAAACAAGAGGTAAAATTTTTCATTCAACAAATAGACAACATTCAGAAACCAGGTAAACGATTCGAATCCTTAAAGAGCACACAAAATTGCCAAATTCTACAAAGAAATGTTGTTTCAGAAGGTAATGATGGTTGCTTCTGATGTCCCCATGACAACGTTAACATGCAAGGTCGCAGTTACCAAATACCACATACCAAAGCAATTCTAACTGACAATACAGATCTCTTACAAATCTACATAACTGCATTTCTACAGAGCTTATAATATTAATTATCATAATATGTAAAATAGGTATTATCAACAGTGGCTTTGATCACCACCGATAAGATGTATACAGGTGTGGTGGTAGGTGATTACGGTGAGCCTAATTTTAACAGGTGCTTGGGACGAGGAAAACGAGCCCGTATTAATTATAAGACCATCAGGGTTATACTTTATAGATAGTTGTGATCAGAATTTTGAGCGATAATAAAAAGTTATCTCATTGTTCAATTATTTACTAATTATTTACTAATTATTTACTAACGCAACTAATGATTTCAAAACTAACAAGTTTGATCGAAATAACATATTACGATGATGGCATTTCCTTGTACAGTGCAATTCTTAAACTTTAATAACACCTTTGATGAGCTTGGGAGAGCCATTACATACTAACAGAAAATCAGGCTGAAAACTACTGAGAGTAAGATAATTGAAGTGTGTGATCATTACATTAATTACACTACTAACTAGCATAATTACACTACTAACTAGCATAGTTACACCACTAACTAACATAATTACACTACTAACTTATAAGTTACATACTGTTAGCTACACCTGAGGCGTAATATTAATTATTACATAAAGAAGTTATCTAATAGTACAAGACAAGGTCTAGAGTCCAGACGCTAACACAATAGTGCTAGAGGAGACAACGTTCTAGGGGAGACAAAGAGTAATATGAGATGCTAATTATTCTCCTCGTAAATTTATCCAGACCTTCAAAATTACATATAATAACATTCAAAACTAGTTTCTTATATGAGCTACAAAGTGCGCAATTACCAGAGGAAACAAAACTTAATAACTTAACCCGGGATGCTAAACGTTAAATAATTAAAGAGCTCTCCCCGTCAATTATCACTGATGAGGTGGTAAGGTTATTGTTCGGAGGCTTCAAGGGCGTCGTGTGTTGGAAACACAATTGACTATGGAAATATTTCTGATTTTTCATCATATTTGTCTAAGATTCCTGACGCAAATCTCGTCGTAGCTACTTAGAATGCGGCAAATTCTTTTTGGACGGATAATTGTTTCCCATAAAGGATTTATCAAGCAAAGTTTAATCAAGTGTTAATAGTCAATGAAAGCGGAGGACGTCCGTTCGTGCAAATTATATAATTAATATTATGCCAGTAAAGTTAAATAACAGAAACAAACAATTACAGTCGTAAGAAATTACTGCTGAACCATCACGTACCGACCCCAAACTGAAACAATCGAAACACAGTACCATCACAAACCCTGACACGGCGCATTTAAGAACTATCAGCGATAATATATACATAAAAGCATGATTAGGATTAACAAAGAAGTGGACGCTTGCTCGCTGTGCCTGTTGACGTGATCATCGACGCGTTGTCCGCTGCGAGCAAAGTTCCGTTGCCAGTATTATTAAAATAATCAGGTAACATATCGACACTGCCAATAACTAAGCTGACATGGATATATATATATTAGGATATCTAACTTTGCTAGGGTCATTAGAGTCATGGAGAGGGAGAGAGGGAATTCCGCTAGCCAATTGAATAATGATCATTATTATATATCATTGGTTATTTAGTTCACTTGTATGGTTGCATCTTTGGAGGTTTTTAAGGAAATATTCCTAACATTTTGCTTTGCGCACGTACTGGTAAGCTAATAGTTATGGCTGAAAGAGTTATCGATGAAGGGTAATTATTTAGACACAACTGCAACCTGCGTTGTGAATTTATGCCGTTTCAAAATCACACTTAATAAGTTAAATTTTCGTGTTTGGGCCGTACCATACCCCTATAATGTGTTGGTGCCAGCGAGTCCCTCCTCGAACAGACTTGGAGGATAGAGGTGCTTAGTATGTCGCTAAGTGCGGGGTGTCGTTAAGCATCTAAACCTTAGAAACCTAGAACATCGTAGAAATGTCTCAACAAGGTTTCAAGAGTCGGATTCATTAGTTGTAGTGAAGCAAAAAGCATAATATTAATGGTAACTTGTTCTAATGCCGAAATCTTTGACGCAGCATATTTTGGTGTCAAGTAGGTTTACACTTTACAATATTAAAAGCGTAGTTAAAAGTGTAGTTAAAAGTTATAGAATTCTTACTTAATAGGGTCAAGAGAAAATACTGGATACCACATTATAACGAAAATGTTTCAAAGTTCTTTATTTTAGCGATGTTTGAAAGATGTAATTTGTTGAGGATATGATGTGTGTGGCCTGGCGATTGAATATTATAGTTGGTTGTCTCATTTAACTGTTTAAGAGACCGTTCAGTTTTGGATGACTCTTTCAACTAAATTTTGAAAGTTTTAACGTTTAAGATTTGTTGTATCGGGTAATGGAACAATAAAAGGGTTACGATTATCATTCGTTTAGGAGAAAACATGACGTAGAAAATTTCCAAGATAGCAATAATTTGAAATTGAAACACGCAAATTTGAGCAGTTCTAAACAAATAAATTGTAATTAAACTTTGTAGACGTTTATTTTCTCTGATCGACTATCAATTGATTAGTGAAACAGTTATCTCATGTTAAACTTCAGTAAAGTTTAAACCTTAGATAACTGTTTCACTTGGTAGTCGATCAAGGACCCCATGTAAATTTCAAAACGTCCCACCGATTTCTTAACAGATTATCGAAGGTATATTATATATAAGGGCGGGATATGGGCTACTGAGCTACTCCCAAAAATATTTTCGTCCAAATCGGGCAATAATCAATATAGATTATAGACATGCCAAAAAACGGGCATTTTGTGATTTAGCAAAAAATTACTTATTTTTTTGCAAAATAATTTTTCAAGGTAGACACTTCTGCAAGTGGTTGTGACTTGTTCTATAATTTTCTATGGACAAAACGCAGTCATTGCATAACGAATACGGTCATAGCTAGGATTACTAGGTGTTAACTTGATGATTTTCATGAAAGTAACGAAAAACAAAATTTTAAGAAAAGTTTCATGAAAGTAACGGACCAACTTTAATCAATACTTATATTATTGAATAAAGGTATGCCGGATCGTATTAGATGACTTAAAGGTTAATAATGTTTACAACGTATATTAATCAGAATTACAACTATAGTAGTAATATTCGTATACATTATTGGGCTGAAAAAAAAAACAATAAATAAGTCTAGCATTTCCTCAGAAGAAATCAGACACAATATAGAAAAATAACAAGAAAGCAATTTAAACCGACAATTTCAGCAACACAGAACAAATAAGCTGAACTATCAAGTCAGGTTCATCACGTTGCAAAAACATTGGAGGGTTTACTAAATTCGACAACTAGTCAGTACGTAATCTGAATCAACGCCTAATTCTAATATAATATAAAATAAGTTAGTGGCATGAAATCGAGATTAACGTGTCTGCGTTGTCTGTCCGCTCTGTCTAAGTCCAGCTGGCAGGTGTGGCAGAAATGGGGGCGATTGATTAACTGATTAAAATTCATTTGTTATGGCACAACACATATTCATTACTAAGTCTTGACTTAGTATACTGATTAGTCATAAATAATACTGATTAACATAACTAACCACCACTAGCCAACGTGATGCATATTAAGTTTACATTTATCGAAAAATAGTTTGGCGGATCAGCCAACAGGACGCAAAACTTAATAATGTTTACAGTACGATCTCATCGGAATATTAGAAATAGTAACAGTAATATTTATATACTTTGCTCGGTTTTGCAATTGCAGGCTTCAACACCTGATAGACGAGGAATCTAGCTTGTTAATATAAACATGATGATATAACACTTAACTAACAGTGTGTCTTCATGGATAAGTAATGGCATCGGGCACAATGATTACGCATTTATTTTGTCTACCATTAATTTAGAGACCTCTCCGTCAAACCCAAAATAGTCATTTAATGACTATCATTACAATAATAGATGGCAAAAATATAAGGCATATGTCAAGGGCAATAATATGCTGCTTGCTCCTTTCTCAAACCGTTTTAACTTGTAAGTTGCAACATTCCAACCGCTAAACGGCTCGAAAATCACTCACACTGTTCCTGGACAACTACTAAATAGCTACTTAACCGTCCTTGACAAGGCTCCAGCAACCTAGTGACTAGACCCTAATCACTGTAATAATTGCAGGAATAGCACAGCTATACGGGATCGCTGGTGACTCCAACTCGTCCGGGGACGAACAAAAGAAGCTTGATGTCCTGGCCAACGAACTGTTTATCAACCTTCTCAAAAGCTCCTACCAGGTAAATATACATTGTGATGATATTATGTAGTTAAGCAACGGGCTGAGGACAAAAAACTTTAAAACAACAATCTATTGGAGCTACTGTACAGGTGAAGATGTGGGAGTCGGTGGAATGTAGATTGTATGGTAGGTAGCCCCTCAACAACACCTTTCTAGGGACCTTGAGGGAAGCAAGTATGTTGTTATGGAGCCTGTTTACCGGGGTAACGAGAAAAGTGAGTGCAAGAATGTGAAGGGGATGTGATACCGTTATTAGCGGTAATTACCAGACCACATATCAGTGTCATCACCTCGTTAAACCAGACGACCATGTTCCGGACACTGTTCAGGACACTGTTCCGAACACTGTTCAGGGTTCTCTCCAGGGCTACTGAAGTTCTGCAAATCATTGTAAGTGATTCGCTGAGAGCTGGCTCGTCCGGACAAGGTTTCTCAAATCCCTACAGTCACAAAGGAATAATAAAAGAGCTCTGATTAAATTTAGAACACGTACAGGTTCACAGTGGTCATCAGGAAAAAATGAAGGGCTTCAGCTTCAGGTGTTACGAAATTACAGAACGTATGAAGTGGAGATGTAACTAATAAATATTGGGAGGCGTAACAAAGGAGAAGTTGTGCCACATGAAATCTACCGGGTACGTCACGTGACATGCACACGTGACCTGACTTGCAGTTACCATGGCAATCCTGTGATGCGAGTGTGATGTGACGCGTCGTAATGTCTGTCTAGATAATATGGTGAACAATAAGCACCGACCACCGACCACACAGAACTCGAAGATAACGTTCTGTCCTCGTATCACTCTCGACCACTCTCCGCGAGAGTAATTTGAATATAATTACTGGTGGACAGCAATTCTGGCACCGCACCTAATCTCAATATTCATGGTAATGGAGGCCGGCTGTGACGCTCCTTCAAACAGAGCAATATATAACTATTATATACATAACTATTATATATATTTGAAGTTTATAATTTCAAATAATTATGAGTCTATTGTCGTCTGTAATGATGGTGCTATCCTTTATGTTGCCTGAATTTGATGAATATAATAATATTGGGTCTGAGATTATTAAATTTGTATCACCACCGCGATTGGAATTTCTGTTGTGAACTCCTCAGAATCCATGAAGGTATCTGAAATATCAGAGATAAAACAACAAATATGTTTGCAACGTTATGAAGTTCCAGCAAGTCAAGTTTTCTCGTAAAATTAGTGTTTAAAACTGGGTGTTCATAAGAAGCACACAAAATTCCAGGAAACATAATTCCAACCCGGCCCCATAGAATTTTAGTAGTTCAATTGGAACCCATAGGTTGCTTTCTCCTTTAATGAGGCAGACTTTCTAATTCTTATGGCAGGTTCAAAAGTGATTGTAACATCAGCAAGGAATCTGTGGCGCCATACCTGAATAATTTTTCAAATTATTCCCATTTTGAATGTCATAAAGCTGTTAATTTATCAGTCTCGGCACATAACTGCATTGTCGTGTGAATAAAACAAAAATATCTCAACGGACAGGTCACTGATACCTGCGAATAAAAACTCATGAAAAATGGTAAGGTATCCCCGGCAAATGAGCAAATTCGAGTTGTTGGTCTCATTTGAGGGGGGACTCCCGGAGGTATCAAGTTGTAACTATATTTATCAAATTTAGAAGGATTCCTGACAACGGGCTGCATAATTCCGGATAATTCACGAACTAACAACATGTCGAAACTTTACTGCTTCAGCCCGAATGACTAATGATGAAAGTACGGAAAATGAACCCATCACGATCCTTGAGATTCATGAAGAAGCTCCTCTAGAATTCTTTTCCAACCATCACTGAAGAACTGGAATCACAAATCTGAAAAAGATTTTACACATTTACCAAACGAGCTAAGGTGCAAAGGCCATAGTAGACCAAACGGAACAAATTATATTAGTAAGCTACATAACAGATTCCTTCAACCAATTAATATCAAGCCGTATTAAAAGCTAGTTGTCATTTTGCATTCCAACATGAATATGATTGATTTCTATGGATTTTTTATTGTAAAATACCAACAATAGCAATAGCATAATTAGATTATTTTAAAGCATGGGAAGAGTTTCTTGTTTATGGTCTCAGCTTGGTATCGAAACGGCAGATTTTCGAGATATTTTCGTGCATGTTACAATGCCTTAATATGCCGAAAAAGAGGGCTTAGATTTAAGAGAAAGCGCTCATTGCTTGTACCTATTTCATAAGTGTACTCAGTACTGTTGGTAGTTAACAAGATTGGATAATCTCGGATCTTCTCATGTAGAAATATTAACGAATAATCTCAGACAGGTTATCCAAGTTAGATATTTGCAAGTTTGAAGTCTATCAGATAGTGATAGAATTTGTAGGGCTGCCCGTTGCTGTCACTGTTCACCAACACTCAGCCACGGTTACGTCTCTCCACAATTAACAGCTACTTATTAAAAATCATGACATGTCCACACATTCATCCCATTCCCAGCTCTGTGAAAATGGCTGATATCACCATTCACCACGGTCGAAACCGTCTTGGATGCTGATTTACTTATCATATATTATTAAGAAGCTGGACAATTCTGACTGAACTGAAAATTATAACCGACATTTACTGAGTATAAAGTTTATCTCTGTCTAGCCATCGACACTGACAGAAAAAAACGACAAGGGCAGTAGAAGATACGTATCCAAAAGCACTGTTAGAACGAAAGTGCTGAAGAGGAGGTTGGTACCTGGTTATTATAAGGAAAGTTAGTGCAAGCTTCAGGGCCGATCTTCTGAACGAGTTCCGACAAGTTAAGCCTTGGAAGAGTACCAGTAAGATGCCGGTTGGGTGCTATTTGGCCTCTTTCCTGCGGCCTTACTGTTTTAAGTTCTTGGAATCTTGAGATCTAGTTGTTACTCAGAATTAGGAATACCCTCAGAAGATGCCGTTGTTCTAACAAAAATCATAATTGTATAATTAGCACGTCGGGAATTGTTTTGAAATTCCGGTTCAACAAATAAGAATACCTAGCCGCTCAAAGGTAACAATAATTATAGGTTATAATGTCCTGACAGATTCGACACAATTTCCTCTCATCTCTTCTCAAGAATATCGGGTTGCTCGGACGTCACTGTGACGTCACTGCTCTGACGTCACTGCTCTGACGTCACTGACAGTGACCCGGTCTCTTTGTTCCATGTTCTACTATCAGCATTCAGCAATTTCTGTTCCCCACGCCGCTCCGCCGCTACTTGAAACTGCTTATTCGGCTTTACTTTTAGTACTCAAGAGGAGTCTCCTGATCATACAGAGACCTTAAATAGTGTCAGCGAACGTAACTTCGACTCCAGGGTTTATTAGGTGTATTCAAGGAAAGTGTGTGCACCTCAGAGCTGCGATGTGCTGTATGATTAGGAGGATTAGAACTGTGCAGAAGGGCACTGGTTAACTTCAAATGAAATTATTAACGATAGGCGTATTTCTGCAAATCATCCAGATGGCAACGTTTTCTAGCTGCAACCGAGCGTTTACAACTGAAGTTTGCTCGATTAAGTTAATGAAAATACGAATTGAAATTAGTTAACTGGAAGGACGTTCTATTCCTAAGAATCAAAACAGACGTTATATTTTAGGAATCCTACAACCTTGCTCGATAAGCATGTCCATTGTCCATTGTCCACTGGTAAATTTACGAAAAGTTTCCAACAAGGAGAGGAGCTTCTCTCTAAAAACTTACGCCGAAATGTTCCTAATTTTTCTTTTAAATTTGGGCGTCGATAACAATTAATATAATAATTTCGACTAATAGTGAAATTTATTCGGCTAGACTAATATCCCATTGGAGCTGTCACATTGGAAATTGATGGAGTCATGGTCGCGTCATCGGTCACGTTTTGAAATATTCTCAGGGAATATCGCATAATTACACGTGAAATTATTACGACTACGAGGAAAATTATCATAATTAATGAGAGGAATTATGGAAATCATGAGAGATTCAAATGGCCGTGGCACTTGGCACGATCCAAACAACCCAGCATTGTCACATGTTAAATCACGTACACTATAACTGCTGATCGGCTTGAGCGTAGAGACGAGTTCACGGTAAAACCACAAAAGAAATAGTAACTTATTGTTACTATTAACAAGTAAGTGTAACCAAACTCAATAATAGAATTAGAATATACCTAATATAATTAGATACAATTTACGCAATTTAAAGACAATTGAGCCCTACTAAATAATTCAATGAACCAGCCCTGATTTGTAGATTAATAAGCCATAGTTTCATAATGTTAGTACTACTTAGGGTACTGCTTAGTAAGTTAAAGTAGCAAACCCAACTGCAGCCCAAACGATAGACATGATAAAAGAATATTATTATAATTTTAATGTATATATTATGTCAATTTTAATGTTACATCGATTATCGAACATAATCTGTGAGTTCTATGCTGTAATAATTATAAATGTCCAATATCCTAGCTCGCAAGAAATAACAAAGCAGGCCGAATAAAATAACATTTGCAATTTGCATACACATTTAGCTAAAAATGCACAAAATTTAAGTCAGATTGTTATTGTAATCAGCACACGCCACAACATGATGGTGCCCCTGCTGCTAAGTCTCCATTCAATCGAGATAAGAACCAGCCAAAGAACCGGTTAGATCTAATACTTCAAACCACAATTCAGGTTCTTTTATTATTAAAGTTATTATACGCTTTGCTAGATACGTCCCAGACGACAAGATCCATTGTCCATCACCTATTAAAACATAAAGTGCTGCATTGTTAATCTTATTAATTAACAAACTAAATATCCATTTAAATTAATTGCAGCCAGTGTAGGGCGCCGAGCTGGGCGCCGAGCTGCCATTATGATCAAGTAATCAACCATGCACGATATAGCCAAGACGACCTGATCCATTGTGAAATGTGCATATTTACCCATTAAAACATTTACCATCACCCATTTGCGTCTTAATGGGTATTAAGACGCAAATT